CAGGCAGATCTGCAGATGATATACAATGTAACCATAATTTACAACCACACCAATATGTAAACCAGTGGAAAAAGTTCAAAACAACACGGTATTATAATCAGGGAGGTTTCTACACCTGTTGTTCACTCACTTATGAGCCAGGAGTCCTGTAGCTCAGTGGTTAGAGCACTCGCTTTGCAAGCGAGAGACCTGAGTTCAATTCCAGGCAGAGGGCGAAACCTTGGGCAAGTTTCCTTACTCCACACAGAGCCTAATAATAATCCCTCCAAAACCAAAAACAATAATAAATTGGTCATTTTCAATCTACGACTGTTTGTGGGACATTGCTGTGCGCAATTGGCTGCCGCGTTCGCCCACAAATATACAGTCAATTCACTTTACAGTATATTCTGTGAAGCGCTTTGGGACGTCCTCCCGACGTGAAAAGCGCTATAACAAATGCAAGGATTAAAGGAGCCCTGTACATTAATCCTCTTTATCCACTATGATGGCCTAGACCAGTTCTGTATAAAATTCTAGTCACCGCCGCATAAGGGGGCTACCCAGGGGCCGGAGACGGTGCAGAGGAGAGCAACAACCATGGTGCCCAGTGTTAGAGGAATGAGCTATCAGGGACAAACTAGGGCTCTCTAGACTTGACAGGAGACATGTCAGAGACGACCGTATTAAGGTATATCAAATTTTAAATAGGATTGACAAAGTAAATCCAGGACAGTACTTTGGAATGCACAAAGTGGGTAGAAAGAAAGAACGTGGTTTAGAGTTGCAACGGGCAATTCAGGACAGACCCCAGGAATTTTTTTTTATTGTGATCTCTTATGTCCATGTTTGATTGATGATCTTGTTTGGGATCTGTGTCCTTCCCACAATACAACATGGCTAGAGTTTATCACAAAGTTGTGTATTGCCATAGTTTTCTAACTAAAATCTGCCTAATTTTTCACAAAAGACCAACTGTAAAGACCGATTGTAATAAAAAATAGTGTTAAAAATAAAAAGTTTTTTAAAAAAAACAGGCTGAGGACCACGGAGCACATTTGGCTACAGAAATAAAACATGAAATTCTTTGTCACAAATGACAATTGAATCTATCCATAATAATTAAAAGTGAATTTTAAATATAATTAATTAAAATTGGTCATTTACTTCTATGACTGTTTGTGGGACATTGCTTGAGCAAGATGGCTGCCCGATTTGCCTGCAAAACACTCCACTTTTCAGTATATCCTGTGACGTGCTCTGGGACATCTTCCTGATGTGAAAGACGCTGTGCTAACTGTAAGGATTATTATTACTATCATTGAAAAAAGATATTAAAGAGTATGAGGAAAACAATGAAGTTATGATTTACTTATTTTACTGATCAGAAACTTGCCTGTAATCTCTCGCTTCAAGTCCTTCCTCATAGGCTTGGCAAATGCCTTTCTTGGACTCTTACTTTTCCGTCAGCTAGGGACCGATCATTTTACATATGCGCAGCTGCTCACGGAACACTTCTAGACAAAGAGACTCCCCATGGTGACCAATAATGATTTATTGTGGACTGGAACAGTTTACCTCTGACCCCATTTGCTCCTGGGATGATACGTGCTTCTAAAACAACACATAGGGCATGTCCAGAAAATCTCTGAGTGGAGATTGTAAGCCATCAAAGTGTATGGCCTCTCTCCTAAGGAAGCCAGTTTCTTTTAAGTTTACAGCTACAAATAAATAAAACAAATAAATACATTTCCACCACATATTTCAGCTCATCGGCAAATGTATCTTCCAAACTATAGTATTTGATAGAACAATAGTAAGTTACGGCAAGTTATGGTTATTCAGCCCATTGTGTCTGTGCTGGCTCCCTCTGCCCTTTACCCATACCCCTGTAACTGACTCTTTTTAATGTTGAATTCCCTCTTGAAAACCAATGTGGATTTTGCACCAACCACCACCCCCGGCAGGGCATTCCATACCCTAACTAATCTGTGCGTGAAAAAAATTCTCCTAACCTCCCCATTTGCTCGTTTTCCAGACGTCCTTCCGACATGAAAGGGGCTGCATAAATGTATTTTTGTTGTTGTTGTCATTTACTAACTACAGTTTCTTAAATTGATGCCCTCTGGAAATAATTTCTTGCTATTGACTATCAAAACCCCTCATAATTTTGAAAACCTCAATCAGGTTACCCTCAGTCTCCCTGGAAAGACACATCCTGCTTACTTAATTTCAAGTAGTAGATCATTCGAAAATCAAATACCCTCCCTTATTTGATCTAACCAGTACAATTAGATAGTCTAAATGTGTGCTGTTTAGTCCTAACCTGATTAGATTAATGCCATCTGTTACATGATGGACCCAGAGCAGCCCCTAGAGGTTGAGATCAGTAAGCAGATGACAATCCCCATTCTAAACAAACCCTCAGCCCTGTGATCAGATTTATTTTCACGCAGGACAAACTTGTTGAACTTAAACTTAAACTTAAAGCACCTTGAATCTGTCTGATGTATTTCTGAGCTCCAACTAATGCCAAAATGACACACTAATGCACACGTTTGATTCTGGCTTTTTTCAATCTTAACAATGGTAAATGTATTGATTTTTAACAAAAAGTGCCAGAAAAAGATCTAGAACTGGGATCAATGCAAAAATAGTTAGCATACATTTTACGCTCCCTGTTGTTTATGCAGATATGGATTAAAATTTCTCCTCGCTTCCCGGTTTCAAAACCTTAACACCTATCTTTTTGACTATGCGTTTATCCTCCACACCCCCCCCCCCCCCCCCCCCAGCTCAGGCTCCCACTCTCTTTGTAAAGTGCTTTTAAGACATTCTCCCTTATTGAAAGGTGACACGTACGAGGAAATTGTTGTTGTTGCTGTTCCTTGCGAAGTGTTTACTAATTTTCCTAAAAGATGATTTATTGTAGAGTGGAACAGTTTGTAAACAATACACTACAGATCAAGTTATTTTTGTGAGTTTTCCCAACAACTGTTTCCTGTCAAGAAATGTGAGTCACTTTTACCGTCAGAAATGTGGATGGATGTACATAAAAAATGGATAAATCACTCACCCCCTCACTTGGAGGATATTAGTGAATGCACCTGAAAATACATACATACCACTTATTTGATGGTCACTCTTTTTGTATGTACAATTCGGTGAAAAAGTAGGTTACAGCACTATTGGAAGAGCAAAGTGGTTGTCAGAATGTGCCAATTAATGAGCACATAAGTAAGAGGCATGGGTTTAAAGTTAAAAAGCTGAAACAGAGCTAGAGATTAGAATATTATTTCCCCTCCAGAGTAATGCATATGTCAAACAGCAAAAGCAGTTCCTGCCAAGTTGATTAATTCTTTCCAAGCTGGAACTGGATCTTCCTGAGAATCATGTTAGAGGATGTGAGGATAGGTGGAGACTGAAATAAATGAGCACTCCAGGGATGTAATCATTTCTGCAATGCTGGCCATGGGCTGGAGGGGAGGAGAGCAGGGTTGAATGGTTCTGCAGTTTGTACTTGTTGATTATCTTTGGAGTTCAGGATCTCTGAAATGTGTCAGTATATGGAGTGGATGAGGTAAAATTTATGACAATATGTTTCATGTAACTGTGGAAGGGATGAATTACCTTTTTTGCTCCACATTTTGTGTCGTCTGTCCTTGTGTTTTTGTCTCAATCTCTCTCCCAGTCTCCAACTCTAAATTGTAACTGAGCTAAAATCGTGCACAAACCTCATCTATATGCATACAACCTTTTTCTTCCTGACATTGCATCCCTGAGTTTATTTCATATTATTTTCCCCAGTGTGGACATAAAGATAAGCCTGTAAATGTAAGGAACCATATAAGATAGACTCTGAATTTGAACGTTTTAGTAAGAAAATGCTCCTGCCTTAGAATTCAGTAAATTACTAAGTAATTCAGCTATAGCTATTCTCCAACCACTGCGCTGTGTTGAGATGTCAGGAAAAGATGAATGATCTCCTCTAAGATGTTATTTCTGATGTTGTCCCAAGAGTGCTACCAACTGTGTCAGCTTGGCTCAGTTGGTTGTACTCTCGCCTCTGAGTCAGAAGTTTGTGGTTTCAAATCCCACATTGCGACTTGGAATTCATCGTCTAAGCTGTTAATTCAATGCAGTACTGGGAGTGTGCTGCATTGTCGGAGGTGTTGCCCTTCGTGTGAGATGTTAAATCAAAGCCCTGTCCCCCTATTCAGGTGGATGTTAAAGATCTCAAGGCATTTTTCGAAGAGAAGGGAGTTTCTCCCATTGTCCTGGCCAACAATCCCACAGATAAAATTGGTCACTCACTCTATGGCTGTTTATGGGACATTGCTGGGCACAAATTGGCTGTTACATTCATCCACAAAATAGTCACTGCACTTTACAATATAGCCTGAGAAGCGCTTTTGAAATGACTCTATAACACATAAAAGGATAATTGTATTACCAACAAAATGCACTTTTATGTCTATCTTGCCTCTTGAATGTCTTGAAACAAACAATTACCGAAGAAAGAAGATTGCGGGTGTTCACGAAAGGTTTGATCAAGGAGATACGTTTTAAAGGAATTTGGGAGTCGGGAGATAGGGCGCAATGTGAAGAATGAAGAGCAAGGTCATAGGGGTTGAAGGCTCGGCCATCAATGGTGGAAGGGAGAGAGTAAAGAATAAGCAGTAGTCAGGAATTGAGGTGGAGCAGGAAACTGCAGATATAGGGTATGAAAGATTGTGAAGGTTTATGAATTGAGTGCAATATCTAAATGAAATCTCGCAGAGGAAAGATACGTGGAGGCTCTAGGAGCTGAGGACTAAGAAGAGACGAATCTGGCAAAGCTAAGCAGGTGTAAATTTATCCACTGTTGATGGTGGACCATCTCTTGCTATGAAATTATTAATAATCGGAGTAATTTCATAAAGACACAAGATCTCTTGATGTAATTTTAAGCAAAAATATAACATTTGTATTCTATTTAATAATTCTACCTGGTTTCAAAGACACTATGGAACACTGCAACGTGGAATTCTAATTTGTTCATTCATTTATTCATTTATACATGAGCTCATATATAACTAATTACTTTTATAGAATTAATCTTTTCAATTTAATTTATTGAAAATGCCTTTAACAAAGTTAAAGTCTGTACAATCTTAATTCATACAAACTAGTTTACAACACAATCGGTAGGGTTAGAGAGACAATATAGCTGTGTAAAGCAACAATGTCCAGTTTTCTCTAATACGCTCTAATTTCACCCCAAATAGAAGTATTTTCCCACAAAACAATGAATTCCTTAAAAAACAATAAATAAAAAGATCATGTAATTTTCCTCATTATTAAATCTTCAAATACAAACTAGGGCTGGAATAATCTTCAAATACAAACTAATTTACAAAAAACAATCAAAAAATTTAAATACATTCGAGTCTTTGAAAACTTTATCCAATACAGCTTTCAGCTCAATAAATGTTAATACCAGAACTTCAGATTCAGGAAGTCCAACCAGTTATTTTTGCTTCCTTTTCCTAACATTCGGTCTTCAGCAACCGTTTCTGATCCATGGCTGTGAAGACGACACAAATTCCTGTGGCTACAAATGTATGCATGCCCTCATAAAGCAGTTTAGGGGAAAAAACACTCCAGACAAATAGATGGTAACGTAGGGAGGTAACCAAAATAATGTACACTGCAGATGGTATTGCTCTCAACAGAACATAACAGTAACAGGTGTGTCCCATTGCAGCAGAATTCCTGGAATAAAAGGGCATTTTTTTCAGAACAAGATTAACTGAAGTTTTAATGTTTGTAAGAACAGAAATCATAGAATCACAATCTAACTGAACGTATTGTCAACACAATTGAAAGAATAATCAACAAAATGTATTTGCTACACTCAAACAGCATTTCAAATTTGTTCTGTGAAAACCAAAGTTTGTCCCCAATACCATTCTCCTGGGCCTTCTGACTGTTGGAATCTGACCCAGATTTTGAGTGAAGACTGGGAGTGAGAGAGAAATGTTATTTTTAGCAAAGCTAAGGCAAAATTCTAAAGATTTTTAATCATTCCAGTTTACATATGCTGCATTTTTGAGGCACAAATAGCAGTTGAATTTTTTTTAATAGAATAAAAATAGTTTTGAAGGACACAAGTTAAAGTGCAGAAGCATATGTTGGAGGTTTAATTTCCCGCTTTAATAAATTATGAGATAAAATAAATTTAATAAACTGCAAGAAATATTTCTGGGCTTGACCCTTAATCTCTTTCTTTTATTTCTCAAGGTATTTGGGGGTTCAGTTCACTAATTTTTGCGAATTCCTACTGGACCATCTAGGAACCTATCTACATAAAAGGGCATTATTCATTCACACAATTATGGCTAAAGACTGAATTCCTTGAAAAGCGATGGGACGGATATCTTTGGCATTATATAAAGGAAGACCTAAATCAAGGAGGGATAATGGATAGATTGCAAGATCACTGATACTGTCATAACCTTGGTTATCATTAAGTTACTAATACAGATAAGGATTGATGAAAACAGATTTTTGCGTTTGTCCACTCAACAAGCAATGATTTTAGTGCTCCCATAAACTGCAGAGACCTGCAACTTATTGTTTCCCTGGGTGTGACTGGGAGAATATTAGATTAATAGACCATTAACAAAATTAATAGCTCTATTAACTACTAGTTCTATTAATAGAACTAATAGTTTTGGCCCCCCAAACTACACTTTTTGTAATCCGTAGACAGCACAATATTCTAAATGTCTTCAGGATGAGATTTACACATCAGAGAGAAGAGCAATATCACACAAGTGCCAAAAAGACTTATTCCTAGGGACACTGTCCCAGGTGATTTCCCTTCACAGACTGACAGTAATTAATATGAGTATCTGGAGGTTGAAGGAATGAAGTAATGATTTCTCGAGGTTGACCCTAACAAAAGAAATTGTCAGCATAGAATTTATTACCTGCTCGTTTCTGAGCTCATGTAGAAGGTAAGGTGCACAGCCCAGAGCAGGGGACCTGCATATGTGGCAAATGCTGTGAGGAAGATTGCTGGCACCTCAACATAATTCTCAAGGCCGACAAATCCAGCTGAAATATCCACAGTTGCAATGCTGTTTGAATTTCCCTACAAAGAAAAAACAAAACTGTTCTGTAAAATTAACAAAGCTGCAAATTGAATTTCTGCCAATTTAATTTCATACGCAGCATTGATGCGTTTCCCTTTCTTATTTGGTCATCAGCATTCATATGTCAGAGAATTGGACTCATCTGGGACATAGGTGTCCTATTGAACTGTGCAATAGAAGTCTGGACCCGAGCTGCTTCCCCAAGATGTTCCCGACCCCGTCCCCTTCCCACCACTACTCCCGCTCAATCCTCCTCTCCCTCCGCCTGCCCCGACTCCTATCCCTCCTCGACTCCCCCACGGCCTCCCTCTGCTCCTCCCTTCACATTCTCCGTCGTGCCCACTGTGGTAGACGCTGTCGGCTGTCCTACAACACCCATTCTGACTGCCCCTTCCCCCACTCTCGCCGCAAGGTCCACCGGCCCCTCACCCACAGGAATCAACCTTTCCTCCCTCACTCACATTCCCATCCAACCTGTCTGCCTCGCTCCCTCCTTAGCTTCCTTCAAGTCCCACCTCAAAACCCTCCTCTTCGACCATGCCATTAGCACCCCCCTTCCCCTCCCCTTCTCCCCCGACCCCAGCTCAGGTCTGAAATGCTGTACACTGTTCAGCGCCTTGGGACATCCTCCCAATGTGAAAGGCGCTATACAAATGTAATCTTGTTGTTGTTGGACCAATGAGACATGAGAAATGGTCTGTTCATTAAGCTGTTTGTGTTTCCAGCATTCCCAAGACCCTACCACACATGAAGGGCACTATATAAATGCACGTTGTTGTGGCTGGTTCTCAAGGACTGAAAAATTTATTAGAGAAAGGCTCCAACTATTGGTACTAGAAACAACGAATGAAAGGATGAAAGAAACCAAAGTCTAATTTTATGCCTTGTAGACAGACTATGGGCAGGGGGGTGAGAAGAAGAAACAGAAAAATCTGATTGACTAAGACTATGCTGATAAGAAGAAAGGACACTATGTTCTACACTTTGTCTGTAAAATTTATGTTGGCCTACCCAGGACTAATGGAAAGTGACTGAGGTAACAGGTGTGCCTTACCTCATATTCAGATACTAACTGCAGGCTGTAATAATAATAACTAACCTTGCAATTGATACAGTGGCTTATCAAGTCTTCAAGACTTCTAAAACCGCTTCACAGAACACACTGTAAAGTGTAGTGACTGTGTGCTTTGTGGGCGAAATGCAGCAGCCAATTGCGTACAGCAGTGCCCCACAAACAGTCGTGGATTGAGGAATGAAATCAGCTTCATTAATAATAATAATCTTTCAGTCACTTGTCTATAATCTTCAACTTCCAGAGAATCTTTTACCATTTTCCTCAGAACTGCTGATGGTTAGTTGTTCTGCTTNAAAAAACACATGGCTAATTTGATGGTCAATAGGGCTAATTCGTAAAGGATTCTGCAGGAAAATGTACTCATTGTCAGTCCCTTCGAACGTTAAGTCAAATAACAATCCGTGCATTTGATATAGTGCCTTATCACGTCATCAAGATGTCTCAAAGTGTTTCACAGGATATAATGTAAAATGGTATGACTGTGTGTATTTTGTGGGCAGATGTATCTCCTTGAAATTAATCTAGATTACAAAATGAATCAACATCATATTCTTTTGAAGTTATTGACTCAATAGTTATGATAATATTATAGCTGTTATGGAAAATATTTCTAAAATGTTTGGGTCATGCTGAGGGCCACAACTTGGGTATACACATTTATTGGGTTAATGTAATTGAACAAATTATGGTGTAAATACAACACAAATATTTGTTGAGAACTGAACTCACTCCACTTGAAATATCTTAATTTTGCTGGTAACACTGCAGAATTGCATAAAAAGGTACCTGAAAGTAAAAGAAGGCTTGGCCAAACCAGTAATGCATGATGGTAATTTGAGCCGCATCATATCCCAATGCCTTCCAGATAAAACGGGTCATAATCATCTGAATTAGGAGGATGAACAACAACACTGGCAAGTTGTGAGGGCGGAAGAGCAAAGCAGCCAACAGCACAAGCCCGCTGTATATTTCCCAGAGGCCCCTGCTCTTCGTCACTGTGTCAGAAAAATCAACTTGCGACTTCAACAAGTCTTTAACTCCCGTAAAAAGGATGCCGAGGACAAATACATAGACAAACCGAGCTTCAATTATTCCCCTGATAAGGAAACATGCAAAAATTAATCAATTGCAATTATCATTCTAGCATTACAGAATAGTGGCATATTGATTAAGAAATAACTTACATTTTCATTGCACTTGATGTCACATCATCTTAAAAATAATAATAATAATCCTTGCATTTGATATAGCGTTTTTCACATCTTCTTGACGTCTCAAAGCGCTTCACAGAATATACTGTCAAGTGAATTGAACGTATATTTCTGGGCGAAACGCAGCAGCCAATTGCACACAGCAGTGTCCCACAAACAGTCGTGGATTGAGAATGACCAATTTATTGTTTTGTTTTGGAGGGATTATTATTAGGTGTGTGGAGTAAGGAAACTTGCCCAAGGTTTCGCCCTCTGCCTGGAATTGAACCCAGGTGTCTCACTTGCAAGGCGAGTGCTCTGACCACTGAGCTACAGGACTCCAGCACTCACAGCACTGAAGTGCTGTTCAGTGATTAATATCAAGCACAGCTGTTTTTGAGGGACAAACACAGCAGCCAATTTGCATACCCCAAGGTCCCAGACACAATAATGAGATGAATGACCAATTTTAATCTGGAGGATTGTTGGCAAGAACACCAAGAGAAACTCCCTCATTTTTTGAATAGTGTCGTGGGATCTTCAAGACATACTTGAAGAACAGGCAGATGGGACATTGGTTTAACTTTCCAGTTGAAGGAGGCCACTGACAAAGCATCGCTCCCCTAATATTGAGTGTCAGCCTAGACAATGAGCTCAAGTCCTGTACCTATATGGCAAAATCTTTCCTTTCCCACCATAGTAATAGGAAGAATAGAATAGGGATTTAATAGGGAGAATAGCATTCCCGTCAATGTCTTTACTCCTGCAAATCTGAACTCCTGAAGCTCCCTGGGCTCTCCCTCAGACTCACTGAACCAGTGGACAATCTAGGCATCTGGTTCAACCCCCAGCTGTCCTTCCTCCCCCACATCCAGTCCCAAACAGGACCGCCTTCCTCCACCTCTGCTCATTGCCCACCTCCAACCGTACCTTACTACAAATGCAGCCGAAACCCTCGTACATGTGTTTGTCACATCCCGCTTGGATTACTCAAACGCTCTCCTCGCCAGACTCCCCAGCTCCACTATTGAAAAAATCCAGTTCAATCAGAACTCTGCATACTGACCCGAACCAAACTCCGTACCCACATCTCACCAGTTCTAGCCAGGTTCCACCAAATGGGATTGACTCCAACATCCTCACACTCATGTTCAAATCCATTCATTCTCTGGCACCTCCCTACCTCTCCGACCTCCTCACTCCCCAATCCACCACCTAGTGTCTTCGCTTGACTGGCTAATTTCTTCAACTCTTGGTCTATTTCAATGGATTTCTGAGTAAGGAAAGTGTCATCATATTCTGGATCTTGTCAATCTCTAGTTGGAGTTGGTTTACCTAGCTACTTCTCCAACTTCCAAAACTTTCCTTTGGCACTTCTATCTCATTGTCTCATAGCCCTGATTTTTTTCAAAATTAAAACCATCTGATCCCTTCTTAATTAACACCTTTTATAGTTTCACCACCTAAAGTAGTAGTTTGTGTTACATGCCTATCACCCTTTTACTGAAGTTAAATGACTTTTGTCACAGATGACAGTTTGGCAGTGAAATGATCTTGAAATCAACCCAAACAGTGGAGACTCACTTGGGAAATAACAAGTCAGATGGATATCAGGGAAGGTTTACAAACTTTCTTGCCAACAAAAGGGACAATTGTCCATAAATCATCAAAGGATGGTGTGAACCAATTCCCAAGGTAAGGGCCACAGATAACTGTCAGAATGAACATTTTAGTACTGATAGCCGGGTTACAAAATCACAGCCTAAATCGTCGAGGTGAACAGGCCGCTGTCAAAGGAAGCAATAAAAATGCAAGAACGAATGTCAACCTGTCAAATGGCACTATCCTTGCAAGAAGAATGATTGTTAACATCAACGGTGAGAAGTTTGTTTTTTATGTTTCAGTGAGTTCTTGTTCCCAGACTATACTCTGAGCTCGGTCAAAATGTCCGATACTGAAGCAAACTGATGCCAAGCATTTGAAGGTGCAATACTGACTGCGGGATCTAGCTGATAGTGTTTCTTAAACAGTTTCCTTAATACACAATTAGACTCTTACAAACCGACGCTCCATCCAGAAAGTACAATTCACTCACACAAGACATGTGGGAATTCCACTCCAATGTGATTTACTTCTAACCAGATTTCTAGGAATTCAGTTAAGATATAGCACAACTTCAACTCCATTGTTTGCTTATCAATCAGTCTGGATATGCCATGAAATCTGCCCTAGGATTAATAGGAGCTTACCTAGTCTCAAATCCTACCCTCATCCTTTCATCTCCTCATGCATTTTAATCAGAGTTTAAGACAACTGTTCCAGTCTCCCTAACTCATCAATCTCATGCATAAATTATCAGCATAGCGTCAAGAAGCATGCAAAGTTTGTTTTCAGCTGTGTAAATAGTAATAATAAGCCTTATATTACATATAATAATAATAATCTTTGCATTTGATATAGCGCTTTTCACGTCGGGAGGACATCCCAAAGCGCTTCACAGAACACACTGTAAAGTGAATTGACTGTATATTTTGTGGGTAAAACATGGCAGCCAATTGTGCATACCAGTGTCCCACAAATAGTCGTGGATTGAGTTAGCAATTTATTATTAGCAGTATTAGTAATAGTAGAAAGAAAAGTGGGCCCTTTCAGTGATAAAATGGTTGAACAGGATTTATGGAAGATGTATTGAATTATTTTTTCACATTATTCTTCATAAATGAATGGCCATCTGCAAAAATGCAAATATGCCCATGGAATTACATCACAATTCGTTCAAATCAATGCTTTTTTGGAAACGAGGCAATTTGGACTAAAAAATAGAAAAATAAAAATCAGTTTATAATAATAATAATCCTTACATTTGATATAATGCCTTTTCACATCTTCTAGACATCTCAAAGTGTTTCACAGAATATAGTGTAAAATGAATTGACTATGTTTTGTGGGCGAAATGCCGCAGCCAATTCCTCACAGCAGTGTCTCACAAACAGTCGTGGATTAATTGACCAAATATTTTTTAAGGGATTATTACCCCCCCGAAAAAGCAATCCGGCAATCGACTAACAACCGGGTTCCTCCTGACTGCTACGTAAACAGAGGCGTCTGGAGGAAGGAAACTTGCCCAACATTTCAACCTGCCCGGGAATCGAACCCAAGTCTCTTGCTTGCGAGGCGAGTGCTTTAACCACTGAGCTACAGGACTAGAGTTGATTTTAGTTGGATGTATTTTAGGATTTCTTTCATTTTATTTGGGACTGTTCAACAGAGCAGAACTTTTTTGCTTTATGCCTCGAAGTCCAATATGCATGGTTTTGATTCTATATGCAAACTGTCAGTGAGGATACAAAGAATGTAAAGAACGGAAATATCCCACTTGGCCGAATCAGTCTGTGCAGGTGTTTATGCTGGACACAAGTCTTCACCTATTCGTTACTCCCTCCCATACCCTTCTATTCCCTTCTAGCTTCCTCTGAATGCATCTACACTATCTTGTTCAACCACTGCTTAAGGCAGCGAGTTCCACAAACTCACTACCCTCTGTGTGAAGTAGTTCCTCCTAAGCTCTCTTTTAGATTCCCTAGTTTCTATCTTAGTGTTTGTGTCCCCTGGTTACAGACTCCCCAACCAGTGGGGAGTTATCAAACTCTTTTACAATTTTAAACTCTTCTAATAGGTCCCCTCTTAAACATCTCTTCACAAGCAAAAATAGGTCTAGGCTATACAGTCTATCCTGATAGCAGTAACCTGCGAGCCCTGGTATAATCCTCATCAATCTAGTCTTACTCTTTCCTTTGCTGCTATATCCTTCTTAATAATGCGGAGAACAGAATTGGACTCAATACTCCAAATGTGTCTAACCAAGGTTTTGTATAAATTCAGTATCACCTCCTCATATTTACATTCTATCTGGATATAAAGCCCAAGACCCCATTGGCCTTTTTTATAGTCTTATCTACTTGTGTGGCTTCGAACCCCTTCAGTCAGGTTTCCGTGCTGCTCATAGCACAGAAACTGCCCTGGTCAAGGTCACCAATGATATCCTGACCATCTGTGACCAGGGCTCCCTCTGTCTCCTCGTCCTCCTCGACCTATCGGCAGCATTCGATACGGTCGACCACGCTATCCTACTCCACCGCTTGTCCTCCCACCTCAACCTTCAAGGCACTGTCCTTGAATGGTTTAGGTCTTACCTTTCCCACCGTCTTCACTTCGTCTCAACGAATGGCTTCTCCTCCACCCCCCGTACTGTCTCATGTGGTGTCCCTCAGGGCTCTGTCCTCGGTCCCCTCCTCTTCACCCTCTATATGCTCCCCCTTGGTGACATCATCCGCAAACATGGGGTTAACTTCCACATGTATGCGGATGACACCCAACTCTACTTTTCCTCCTCTACTCTCAACTCCACGACCACCGATGTCCTGACAGCCTGCCTGTCCGACATCGAGTCCTGGACGAGAGACAACTTTCTTCAGCTCAACGTGCGAAAAACCGAGGCCCTCCTGATTGGCTCACGTCAGCGCCTCCGCACCTCAGGCGCTGACACCATCAGCATCCAAGGCTGCACTCTCCACCTCTCAAAGCCAGTCAGGAACCTCGGCGTTTTGTTCGACCCTGAGCTGTCCTTTCTCCCTCACATCCGCACCACAACTGGCACCGCCTTCCATCACCTCCGGAATATCGCCAAACTACGGCACTACCTCACCCCTCACGCCGCTGAAACCCTGGTTCACGCCTTTGTCACCTCAAGGCTGGACTATGGGAACTCTCTCCTCGCCGGCCCCGAAAAAGCAACCTACTATCCCCCTACCTACCTGCCCGCACCCTCCGTTCCTCTGGCTCCGGTCTGCTCCACGTCCCCCGCCCCAACCGCCCTACTATCGGTGGTTGGGCCTTCAGCCTCTCAGCCCCCAGGCTCTGGAACTCCATCCCCCAGTGCCTTCGCCTTGCTTCCTCCCTTTCCTCCTTCAAGGCCGGTCTCAAAACCTTTCTCTTTGACCGTGCCTTCAGCTCCCCTCTCGACTCTCTTCCTCCTCCTCGCTCCCTCCCTTCCCTCCCCTCACCCTGACCATTTCCCCCTCCTCTCTCCCTCCCTTCCCTCCCCTCACCCTGACCATTTCCCCCCTGCTCGGGTCATGACCCAACTGTGCAGCGCCTTGGGACGTCCTCCTGACGTGAAAGGCGCTCTATAAATGGAATCTTGTTGTTGTTGTTGTTGGCTACTTAAAGAGATTTGTGGATCTGAGTCCTCTTTGCTCCTCTATTCCTTTTAGGTTCCTTTCATCTAGATTACAGGCAGTTTCTTTATTTTTCCTGACAAAGTGAATTGCTTTGCATTTTCCCACATTAAACTGTCTGTCTGCCCATTTTACCAGCCTATTTGTGTCTTCCTGCATTCTGCAATCCCCTTATCTGTTTATGTGGCGTCTATTTCTCACAGCCTTGTTGTGTTGAGACTTCTATACGTGATTTGAGTGACTATCAAGTCACCAGCCAGGTTATTGATTCCTGCATTAAGGCATTATAGATTTGGAATCAAGTGCTATCAACTTCAAATCTGTTCTAGACCACAAAACGATTTTTTTTTGTGAACCATTCCTAACGGAACATTTAAATTCAATTTCAAAGAGCGATGGTAAAAGAGTGGTTTAAACATATTCTATCCGAATCTATCAGGTGATTTCTGCACTTGTTAAACCATTTTAAAATGCAGAAGTTCAAATCAGCAACACATTCACTGCTCTATCAGCAATCTATATGGGCACTAATACACTTACTTTGATATGTCTCGGTCTGGTTTCCATGGAAAAATCACATTTCCAATTGCTGCTCGGTAGCAATACACTCCCAGCAACCCCAGTGCTAACGCAGCCTTTGAGACAGAAGAACATGTTTTCTGCACCAAAACAAAGATCAGAAAGAGAGATGCCGCAGCCAGAATGGAGAGTTCATTTCTGTGATTTGAACTGCAAAAAACATAAACATACAAATAAGTGAAACCCATCACATACATAGTTTGTCACCAACCATACACTTATTTTCTATCCATACCTTTGGACTGTTTGTGTGTTATTTACCAGGCAAGAGATCCCAAACCCTTTCCAAAATCAGATACAATTTTAAATTTGTAAGTTCATTATTAAATTAGGCATATGTGTTTGCAATTGCTGATGTACACAATAGCAGTGGTTTACTGGCAGACCAGTTTTCAAACTATGGTGCCTTCTCTTTTAGAAACTTGCTTTACTTAAGTGACCTCCCTCAAAAATTACAAACATAAATTACTGCTAGATCTTATGAAACTTTCTATTCAATACAAAATTCCAAGAAATCTTATTTTTGTTAGCGAATTTGTAACGATGACAAGTTCTTTAAAATAAAGATTTACTACTCTTTAAGCTCCACCTGAAAACCTGATGCTGCAGAAGTATTGCTGGACTACAGTACGATGTTAGTGTCGATATTTGATAGACTGCATAATACAGTCCACAAGATAAAAAGCATAATACTACAAATACTGGAACATCTGAAATAAAAACAGTCCTGACGAAGATCATTGACTTGAAATGTTAACTTACTTTCCTCTCTTAATAGATGTTGCCTGACCTGCTAAGTGTTCCAAGCGACTTCTGTTTTTAGTCCACAAGATAAGATGTACCCATCAGATAGATGGCAATAAAATTAAGCTGCATTAGCAAATGACTATAATAATCCTTGTATTTGATATAACACCTTATCACGTCTTCGAGACGTCTCAAAGCGCTTCACAGAATATACAGTAAAGTGAATTGACTGTTTTGTGCATATTTTGTGGGCGAAATGCAGCAGCCAATTGCGCAAAGCAGTGTCCCATAAACAGTCATGGATTGAGTGACTAATTTTTTTTAAAAGAAAATTAAAAAATAAGGGAGATATTCAAAAGAAGGACCAAAAAAAACAAATAGATGATCCAGGAGAAATGTCTTTTATAAAAGATTTATAGGCATGTGGAACTAACAACCAGGAAGGTGGTGGAACAAGAAACTTCAAAGGTTTCAAGAAAAAAAAACAAGTGAAGTTTCTAGAAATTAAAAAAAAGATTCAGGGTTATTAGATGATGAGGCAGATGGTGGCCAAAAGGCAGGGTATTCACTGCACGAGTCTAGGTAAGTGCAGTGTTCAATCGGTAGTTTTATTTTCATGTTTTTCTTGATTGAATATTTCTTGATTTTGTGGCATAATTCAAGAAATATTCAATTAATTTACTTTGTTGGCTGACAATAAAAGTTGACCACCATTGGTCTATTCCATAGTCAGTTTAATTAATTACTACTTCTAGCAGTGGACAAAATATGCACATTTGAAAGACAGGCTTTCAATTAATGAAACAAGGAAAGCTTACCACTGCTATTGTTTATCATAGGCCAGGATGCAATCCAGTTACAGTATGTGTACTTACCTTGTCAACCAGTGGCTAACATCAGCTTTATGTGCCCATTTGATTCCAGTCTGGTTCAAGGAGCGAAGCAATCGACAACACATCAGAATGACCCAGGGACTGATCAACGCCAACCACTTTTCATAGTTTCCATACAGTCTCGTTGTTTTAGATTTCAGATCTTTTTCGTCATGATCTAATAGATCATGTATAGTGGTCTGGTGTTCCTTGTAACCATCATACTCTGGATTAGTCTTCTCAATGCTCTCCAAATCATCTTTAGAGCCACTAGCCAGAAAATATTTTCTGCAGATATCTTGAAATAACACCAACAGAAGTGTATTGACTAGAAAATACCATGTTTGATGTTCCTCTTCTATAAAACTGCTGGCACCAAGACTCAGAGTGTGTCCAAGGGTCCCAATTAACAGGACTAGATCTAGCTCTGACCAACTGGAACTAAATGAAGTACCGCTCTGCTGGGGAAAGAACAAATAACAATGCCCCAATTATTTCCAATGTTACAGAAACCCCAGAGAAAATTACATTGGAGGGAATACATGTTTTCACTAAGATTTAGGATATTTAGGATATACATTTATAATTCTTTATAGGAGAGTATTGAATTGTAACTGATTGCGTGATACAAAATTGCAGATATCATATGTAAACTAATGCAATTAAATCCACTAGCACTGAGGCTACAGTTAGATGGATTTTTTGTTTTTACCAAAATAATTGTGAAATCCAGGAAGGTAATGAGCATATAAAGCATAACAAATCCACAATGCTGTCACCAGAGGCACTTCATGGTGTCTACATTGCTATGCTTTAAGAGGAATCCTCAATAATTAAATAACTCTACAATTTAGGACTTCTTCCACTATGCTAATGCACAGGTATGACAATGCTGCTTCAACACAATCTACTCATAGTGTGGAATTCCTGCAAGCAATGGGAATTCTAATAGAATTGGTTACAAAGCTAGGAAATGCTGCAAATTAGACCCAATGTCTTGCAAAACTATTAGTGGCTAGCTTTGCCTTTACCCAAACTAAGCATTACTGTGCATTACTAAGCGAATGTGAAAACCAATTTGCACAAAGCAATGTCCTGTAAATATTCATGGAGTGAGAGACCATTTTTTATATTTGTGGATTGTTCGGGAGAAGAGAGAAACTTCCTTCTCGTTTCGAATAGTGCCATGGGATCTTTAACATCCACCTGGACAGGTAGCCGGGACCTTGGTTTAACATCTCATCTGAAAGTTATGTTTTCAGCCTGACAAGACTTAAGAGTGGTTTTAATCCAATGACTGCTGATGTGCAGGACTGAATGCAAATCACTGCCTGTCTACTGTTTCACACTTTACAATATTTATGCTATCTGTGCAGAGGAAGGATAACCAACCTCTTGGTTATTAACCAAATATTCAATCTCCAACTTAAGAGGCAACTACAGTGATCGCTTTTAATTAACGAGGAATGTTGCAATGCTAACCGACCCTAGAACTGAGGCAGGAAACTCAAATTGCCNTTTTACCTCTGTTCAAAATACGAGGCAATGTATTGAAAAGGTGGTCTACAACCAGACAGGCAATACTTAAACAACATTTGCACTTCGCTTCTGGAAGACATATAATGGAGGGTGGGGGGGAAGAGAAAAGAGAATAAAATACTGGATGTTGACTCAAGTCTTAAGACTATCCTATTTGCTTCCTATACTTTGGTTATAGATTAAAACAAAACTTTGACTCAAACAAATGAGTCATAAAGCAAATGAAACTAGAAAAGTTTCGCAAGCCCCTTGGCCTTTCAATATTTTACCCTACAACATATATTTGATTTTACAAAATAAATAGTGCCATGGGATCTTTAACAGGCAGACAGGACATTGGTTTAATGCCTCTCACCTTTTGCTGAGGCTTCCCATTAGTAAATCTGTTCCAAAGACTTGACAGGAGTACGCACTGTAGTGCCGATATCAATACAATCACTGCTGCAGCCATCAGCCAGGAGACATTACAGAAATAGCAAGACGTGTCTACTGATGTGCATACAATGACGTGAATAGCTGAGAACACGAGGCAGAGAAGGTAAAACAGCAGGGAAACGAATGGAGATGACAAAGGCACTTCAAATTCTCCTGTGTTTGATAATGCCTCTGGAATACTTATTAGCAGAAGGAAAATAACCTAAAATGGAAACAAACATTTGTTAGGTTTAACAGTTCATCAAATATTTAGACAAGGATGCAATTAGTTGCATCAAAATCATACATTACTCAGCCAAAATTAGACAGGACCATGCCTACTATGGATAACAATTATATAATTGTTGTATTTGAGTAACAACAAAATGCCTCAAAGCCTGCAGAATTTTGTGGGAAGTGTACTGACAGCATATCTGAAGGTGAACACAGCAAACAATTTACATAAAGCAATAATAATAATCCATTTGATATAGCTCCTTATTACGTTGTTGAGACATCTCAAAGCGCTTCACAGAATATACCGTAAATTGTCTGCATATTTTATGGACGAAACTCAGCAGCCAATTACGCACAGCAGAGTCCCACAAAGTGTTGTGGATTGAGTGACAAAATTATTATTATTTTGAAGGGTTTAATGTCTCATTTTAAAGTAGGGCTCTCCCAGAACTGATCTGGAGTATCAGTCTAGCCCGTGAGCTCAAAGTTCTAACGTGGGGCTGTAGGTGGCGAAAGTTGGAAAAGTGTTTCATTTCCCATCTTTTACATCCTTAACTTTGATCATAGCAACAAAAAAATCCACATAACAAATTGGGAAACAAACATGCAAATAATACTTCTCACGATTTATACCACTGCTTCTGTGATCTCGACCAGGAGTGAGCACTTCAGATTATCTGAATGTTTTTATTATTTCTACACTCTTGCAACACTCACCTCCCTCACTGGATCATCTTTCTACATAACAAAACTGTAAATGTCACAATGTGCAATATTGGGGTTGGGAGAGAAGGGATATTACGTGCAATAGCTCCTACCTCCAGCACAACGACTGTTCCTACAATCATTGAGTACATATCATACTGTGCCAGGATATTGGAAAGTGAGGAACTCAAGACCTTCAAGGCATCCAAATACTGCTTCAGTGCCTTCCTTCCCAGGTTTGCAAGGATTTCTGAAGTATTACCTTCCAAGTGAAGTTTAATCCAGGAACCATGTGATTTTTGTGCTGTTTTGAATAGTTTGTATCCAGCATCTAGAGATAGGTAAATATAGCGATTCAAGAGCTGGAGGAACCACAATACATGAAAGACGATACTCTACTTCCAATTGTGAAACACGTTTGTGTCAGATAAAATCTGCCAAGCTATTTTACGTTCTTAAAATAAGATAATCGTTTTGCAGTTGGATGGACATATTCTCAGTGATAAATAGCTGTCATTGCTATTATTGTTACTATAATCGTACTGTTAAAAATACAAATTGCCCAAAAAGAGGACAATTGAGCAATTAGAAGTAGAGATAAAAACAAGCCTGAGGCACAAGAAAGCCAATGCAGCAGGAAGAAGCAAGTTTGTGAGGAAGAGTGCGTGTCTATGAAAACAAGCCGTGAGAAAATGTGAGCAAGAAAACGGAAAAATCTATGAGGGTATCACAGGGTGAGGAAGAAAAGGCGAGGGGATAGAGAGCCAAAGAGATAAGATGGAAAGGAACATAGAAGACAGAGAGAAAAGATGGATAGATGGAAAAGGGGAATAAAAGGCAAATGAGGAAAAGCTTTTTCAAATGCATCTCTGCTGTAAGAAGTTATTTGGAGCTGGCAACTACAGCAAAATAAAAAAAACTTTGCTAACAAATATTTAAGAATGGTGAAACAGGTCAACTTATGTTCCAATGGAGTCTGAATAACAACAATCTCTGCTGATCTTCAGAATTTCTAATGACGTCTTTCCTTGATTCATGGCTAATATTTGAAGATGATCTCTGTCATTATACTCTGCTATAAACGTGGTGTAGCTTAGCCTTACCTTTTTCAATTGCAGGAACACACTCTTGGAGCAGCGAACTAAGCTGGTATCCATTAATGTGCAAGTATCGTAGCTGTTCCCTTAGAGACGTTTCCTCAAAGACAGGAAGAATAATGCAACCCAAATTATTCCGCGAAATTGGCAAACTAATTCCTAAAGCCAGGGTTGGAGCCAGGTCTGTCTGCTCCACGTGTTCAGGAGCAGCAAAGGAATCTAGAAGTTAGATCAGTTTCAAAACATGTTTCAATGTTTTTCCAAGATTCTAATAGTTAACACAAATGCAATCAATTTTATGTAAATAGCTTATTTCCTTGTTCAGTAGATTCTGCTGTCCATCAAATTTTGATACTTGTGTTCTGCAACTGTTTGCATTCAGGAATAAAAGTAGTAAAGGGAATGTAGTAAAGGGAACAGAATTCTTTGTGAACAAATATGAATGCTATGGTTTTGAAATAATAGTGTACATATTTTCACTGAAATTGATTTTTGTTCATTTCCATCTTTTTTTGCTGAACTGTATCAATCCTAAATGTGATAAGGACATATAGCTCAAACCGATAAGAAATTTCTAAAACTTTGCTGCCTATTAATAGTACAACGACAACTTATTTTGAATGGAAACCTGCATTCTACATCACTTCCTGGTCATCAAGTTGCCACTGGAATGCAAAACCCACAAAGGAAGTATAGTCAGGGACGACCAAATGACCTGCAAGTTGGCCATTTTTAGCAGGGTCCATATACTATTTACACAATAATCAAATCAGTGCTGTAACAAAGCACGTGATAATAGTGCAGCATTCTGTGAGACTATCTAAGTGAAAGGTTTATACAAATGGAATTTTTTTTAAAACTGTGCAAGGAATACTGTGGATTGGATAATCCAAGGTTCAAATCGGAGACTGAAATGTTTGTGGTTAAAAATCTATTAATTGCCATTGCTACAAAATAAATATAAACAATACTAAAACTCCAGTAGTATCTTCTTCCACTCTAGTCCTCACCTTTGTTTCTGAAAGCAGAGCTGATGAGAACTAATGGAGTGTGCATTTCATGATTTGAAGATCCGCCATGATTCCCTGTGTCTGACATGCCATGATCCCCACAGAGTATCAATAAACTAGGCAAAGATGTTTCATCTTCCTGGAAATAACCATAAGAAAACACAACACAACAACGTAGGTTTAAATTTTGATAGAAAATGTCAGCTTGCAATTTCACGGTTTCAGTGTCACTGAAAGGAAAGAATGTCCTGTAATAGACTTTATGGAAACAATAAAAAATAGCAAAGTACCCAGAAATTGGATTCCGAGCAACCAGTTCAACACTGTATGCTAAAAATGTTCACTAGACCGGAGGACGTGTGGAAGAGGAAGAGAATTCTAATGAGTGTTTCAGAGTTGTGAACAACAGAGACTATTTCGAATGATCAGTGAGTCATTAAAAAACAGGTCCAGTTTGAAGGATAAAAGACAAGTTGATTTTCAATAAAGCTCTGTTTTGCCAAACAATGTTCACACTATTTCAGCTCTGTCGTCTCACCAAAGAGCACTTTGCTGGCACTTGATAATAATCCTTACATTTGATATAGCCTCGTAACAAGTCGGGAGGACTTACCAAAGCACTTCTACAGTATATATTTTAAAATGCAGTAACTGTGTGTTCTGTGGGCAAACAGAAAACAGTTATTGTTTTGCAGATAAAGCAACTTGCATTCTTTTTTCATTTGGATTTTAAATGTACTCAATACTTTACAGTTGAACGTCAACAAGACCGACGCTCTCCTGATTGGTTCGCGCCAGTGCCTCAGCACCTTAGGCACTGGCAGCATCAGCATCCACGGATGCACACTCCACCTCACCAAGTCAGTCAGGAACCTGGGCATCTGGTTCGACCCTCAACTGTCCTTTCTCCCCCATACCCAAGCCATGACCCGCTCTGCCTTCCCCCACCCCCGCAACATTGCCTCACCCTCATACATGCTTTCATTACATGCAGGCTTGACTATGCCAACTCCCTGCTTGTCGGCCCCGCAACTCCTCCCTCCATAGGCTGCAAATCATCCAGAACTCTGCAGCTCATGTTCTCTCCCGCACAAGGCTCTGTGACCCTATCACCCCCGACTCCACTGGCTTCCCATCGCACAGGAGGATACAATTCAAGATCCTGGTCCTCACTTTCAAAGCCCTCCATGGCTTTGCTCCACTCCTACCTCTGTGACCTCCTAACCCCCTACCAACCTGGTCGCTCCCACCTTCCCTCCCTCCGGCCTGCTCCACGCCCTCCACTTGGCCCGCCCCACCATTGGCGGTCAAGCCTCCAGCCACTCTGCCCCCACGACAGTGCCTTTGGCTACCCTCCACGCTCCCCAATCCCGACCCCCAGCTCGGGTCCAAAACACTGATTGTCCGGCACCTTGGGACATCCTTCCGACGTGAAAGGTGCTATACAAATATAATTTTGTTGTTTTATCGTCGTATTTCATTGAATCACTGTAATTGCTATAATAGCTAAAACAAATGGAAATATTTAAGAAGTAGGTAAACACTTAGCTAGTAAGGGTATCAGGAGTATGGAGAAAAAGCATTATAAATAGTGCTGAGCTACAGATCAGCATGATCTAAGAAAATCAAGGATTAGGCTGCCAAACAGTCTATTGCTGTTTCTATGATCTGAAATAAAGTAAGAAGATGGACTCTACATCAGAACAATCAAAAGCAAATAAATCTTACCAACAAAGTTTATAAGTCATGGCCTTTGTTGGCAAGGTTTTTAGTATAACTATTGCTGAATTAGCTAAAATGCAAATGATTAAGAATTAATATCTATTTACTATAAAATGAGCATGAACAGCTCAACGTGAATATTTATTTTCAGACCTGAAGGAGATTTATTTAAAAGCTCAACTCAACCAACAACATATTCTTCCATTGATCCTTTCACAACAAAACATTTCAATTGCTGAAAATTTCTACAAATTAGACATAGGGGTAATCCAAGTTTGTGTTCAAGCATTATATAGGGTGATTACATACCTTGGATAATAAGGCTGTATTAATCTTTTTAAGAACATCATCCATTTCCCTCAGCTTTGGTCCAATCAGATGACTATCTGGTCCAGCCAGATGGCCTATGTGATCTAATCCGAGGTAATGCAAAATTAGTAAATCCCAGTCATTTCGTTTCAGTGCTTTATCCAAGTGCCTGGTTACATTAATGTCAACCTATTTGGGGGAAAAAATATTAGCTAAATAAGGAAAATAAATAAATGTGCAATATGAAATTAATTGTATGTGGTGGCAAATCAGAGCAATGCAAACCTTTTCTCTAAAAAGCCTCTATGACTAGAAAGATAAACACATTCTTACAACAACAAATTACATTGTATAGAGCCTTTCACATTGGGAGGACATCCCAAATCAGTGATTTGGACCTGAGAGGGGGTTGGGATCAAGAAGGGTGGAGGGCAGGGATGGGATCATGGATAAAAGCAACAACAACAAGATTCCATTTATAAAGCGCCTTTCACGTCAGGAGGACGTCCCAAGGCGCTGCACAGTTGGGTCATGACCCGAGCAGGGGGGAAATGGTGAGGGGAGGGAGCGAGGAGGGGGGAAATGATCAGGGTGAGGGGAGGGAAGGGAGGGAGCGAGGAGGGGGGAAATGGTCAGGGTGAGGGGAGCGAAGGGAGGGAGCGAGGAGGGGGAAGAGAGTCGAGAGGGGAGCTGAAGGCACGGTCAAAGAGAAAGGTTTTGAGACCGGCCTTGAAGGAGGAAAGGGAGGAAGCGGTGAAGGCACTGGGGGATGGAGTTCCAGAGCCTAGGGGCTGAGAGGCTGAAGGCCCGACCACCGATGGTAGGGCGGTTGGGGTGGGGGACGTGGAGCAGACCGGAGCCAGAGGAACGGAGGGTACGGGCAGGTAGGTAAGGGGATAGTAGGTTGGAGAGGTAGGAGGGAGCGAGGCCGTGAATGGCCTTGTAGGTGAGGATGAGGATCTTGAAATCAATCCTCTGGGGGATGGGGAGCCAGTGGAGGCGAGCGAGGGTGGGAGTGATGTGGTCGCGAAGCCTGGTGCGGGACAGTACACGAGCTGCAGAGTTCTGAATGACCTGCAGTGTGGAGGGAGGTGGCGGGAAGGCCGGCGAGGAGAGAGTTCCCATAGTCCAGCCTTGAGGTGACAAAGGCGTGAACCAGGGTTTCAGCAGCGTGAGGGGTGAGGTAGTGCCGTAGTCTGGCGATGTTCCGGAGGTGATGGAAGGCGGTGCCAGTTGTGGTGCGGATGTGAGGGAGAAAGGACAGCTCAGGGTCGAACAAAACGCCGAGGTTCCTGACTGGCTTTGAGAGGTGGAGAGTGCAGCCTTGGATGCTGATGGTGTCAGCGCCTGAGGTGCAGAGGCGCTGACGTGAGCCAATCAGGAGGGCCTCGGTTTTTCGCACGTTGAGCTGAAGAAAGTTGTCTCTCGTCCAGGACTCGATGTCAGACAGGCAGTCTGTCAGGATATCGGTGGTCGTGGAGTTGAGAGTAGAGGAGGAAAGGTAGAGTTGGGTGTCATCCGCATACATGTGGAAGTTAACTCCATGTCTGCGGAATAGTCGAAAGCAGTCGAAATAGAGGGTCGAGACGTGTCTTGAAGGAGGCAAGTGAGGTGAAGGGACTGTTGGATGGAGTTTCAAAGGGTGGGGACAGAGAGGCTGAAGGCTTGACCACTGACGGTGGAGCTGAGGACATGAAGCAGGCTGGTGCCTGCTGAGCGGAGGGAGCCGACAGGTTATATAGTGTTAGCAGGTCACAGAGGTTGGAAGTAGCAAGGCCATAGAGGGCTTTGAGGGTGAGGATGAGGATTTTGAACTCTATCCTCTGCCATGCTTTGTTTTGAATGTTACTCGAGAGCCACTTGAAGACTACATCTCTTACCGAAGTCCAATCTCATTTAGTCTGTCTTCCTTCGGTTTCTCTAATTTCAAGGCTCAATTAGTAACCTAGTCCTACCCTGAAGATTCATAACAACTTCAGCCAGTCAATCAATGTCAGTCAGTCTGATTTCCTTCAGGCAAGAATAAAGATGAACTACTACTGATATGTTTTACTTTTTTCCTGTAGCCACACCTCACATCTTAGTTGGTAGTCAGGCTGACACAAGTGCTGAGAGTAGGAGTGCAGGCTGACAGTACAAGAGCCTCGAGCTCCAGGAGCCATTGAAAGCGCGCTCCAACACTGCTGTAGCCCCCTCACCTTTGTTTCAGAAGATTGTGGGTTCAAGCTCAGGTCAGGACTTTGAACTCACAGTCTAGGCTGGCACTCCTGATACAGAAGTCATTTTGTTGGGTTGCTTCCATTTCAAGGCTCAAATGGTAGCCTAGTCCTACCGTGAAGAATCAGAGCTTCTTCAGATACTTAATCAGTTAATGTCACCTCTCACCACCAATGGTTGGAGAGGTTTGAGGCCCACACTATCCTAGGAGGTAACAAAGTTGGGAGTAAGAAAAGCAAACTACATGATATAGTCATTTGTCAAAATCATGATTACCTCGGTGTAGTCAGACACAAAGAAAGAGGTAGTTCCGTCATATTCTACAAAGTGATGAGGAAACATTCGAAGCCAGGTGTCATCCCCGTAGAACACCATTCTCCTCCCAGCAGCTTTTGCTTGCCAGATGAGGCTATCTTCCAGTAGGACTGGGGAATTTAAATTCATGATGACATCAACAAATCCAGGAATTCTGCCAGTCACCAGCGCCTGCATAAATGCACATAATTCACAATTACAAAAACTTTTAGCACCTTTGCAGATAATGTGTAGGCTTGTCGCTTTACAATTTTAAATTGGGTAAAAATGGTTTTCCAATTTTCTCCAAATCAAGGAAAGCAAAGTACATGATACACTATAGTAATGTGCGTTTCAACTCTTATAGAAGAGTTCTAAGAGATAGACTAGACGAACAGGGTAGCAGTGGAATCAGAAAAAAAACAATAAAAAATAATAATCTTTGCATTTGATATATTGCCTCATTACTTTGTTGAAACGTTTCGAAGTGTTTGACAGGATTTTGCTGCGAAATGTAGTGATTGCATTTTCTAGGCAAACATGGCAGTCAATTTGTGCACACCAATGTCCCACAGACAGCCATGAAGTGAATGGTGAATTGTTGACCTGTACATCGGGAGAAAGTCCTTCTCTTCTGAATAGTGCCATAGGTCTTTTAACATCGGCCTGAATAGGCAGGCTTGGTTAAATATCTCATCCGAAGGACAGCAATTCTAAGTGGCACCTCAGCACTGCAAACGAGTGTCATCCTAGACTATGAGCTCAACCTTCTGACTCAGAGGTCAGAGTGCTTCTAGTTGAGCCAGGTTGACATATAGAACTCAGGGTGCACAAGAAGCAGGGAGAAACTAAAATAAGTTTGTTAATAACATTTTTGATTTTCCCATGAATAAAAGCCTAATAATGCTTCTGTTCCCGAGGACATATACACAACCGTGTAACCACTCCGTGAACTTTAATTATGAAGATTTAAACATGCACAACACAGGCAAACAACATAGGCATTCAAACTTGTTGGGACTCTTGCCTGAAATGTTTCTACTAAGAAGACAAGTCGTGGTGCAGGAAGCTGGGAAGGGAACATGGGAAGAATGAGGAATTACATTAAAACACTTCTTTCCTCACCAGTTACTGCATCTCCCTTCACAAAGGCATTTAATTCATTTTTCTTTCTGCTGGGGTAAGGATTTGACCAACAGGCAAGTATTCCTAGTTGGATCATATTGGTAGTCATCAAGTTAAATCCTTAATGCCTGGAGGATATATGCATGCTCCAGCCACGAAGGATTAATTGTGAAAGGCCATTCTTATTCGAAAGACTTAAATATAAATTGATCAACATTCAGAAAACATAAGTGAATGTCTAAATTCTGTGCATCGAGATAATAATAATCCTTGCATTTGTTATAGAGCCTTATCACGTCTTCTATACATCTCAAAGCGCTTCACTGAACATACTGTAAAGTGAATTGACTGTATATTTTGTGGGGAAACGCGACAGCCAATTGTGCACAGCAGTGTCCCACAAATAGTCGCCATGCCACCCACAGCACAGAAACAGCCCTGGTCAAAGTGACAAATGACAATCTATCTATCTGCGACCAGGGCTCCTTCTGCCTCCTCATCCTCCTTGACCTCTCTGCTGCCTTCGACACCAATAACCACTCTATCCTCATCCACCGCCTCTCCTCTCACCTCAACGGATCTGTCCTTGAATGGTTCAAATCGTACCTCTCACAGCGTCTCCACTTCAGCTCCACAAACGTTTTCTCCGTCCTATTCAGCGTTCCTTGGCGTCGTTTGACCCTCAGCTATCCTTTCTACACCACATCCGTGCCATGGCCCGCTCTGTCTTCCACCACCTCTGTAACATCACCCGGCTCCACCACTGTCTCACACCACAGGCCGCCAAAACTCTCATACACCCATTCATAACATCCAGGCTTGATTCTGCAAACCCCTTGCTTGTCGGCCTCCCCAACTCCTCCATCCACAGGCTGCAGATCATTCAGAACTCTGCAGCCCATGTCCTCTCCCACACTAGGCGCTGTGACCCTATCACCCCCATCCTCCCCCAATTCCACTGGCTTCCCATCACACAGAGGATACAGTTCAAGATCCTGGTTTTCACCTGCAATGCACTCCATGGCCTTACTTCCCCCTACCTCTGCAGCCTACTCCACATCCCGTCTCGCCCTTCCCACAATTACTTTGTCGAAATGTTTCAAAGTGCTGACAGGATTCTGCCATTCTGCCCCCACCCTCTGGAACTCCATCCCGTGGTCCCTCCACCTCAACCCCTTCCTTGCCTCCTTCAAGACCCATCTCAAGATCCTCCTCTTCGTCCGTGTTTTCGATCTCCCTGCTTCCCCCACTGCCCTCCACCCTTCGCAATCCCGACCCCCACCTCGAGTCCGAAACACTGACTGTCCAGCGTCTTGGGATGTCCTCTCGACGTGAAAGGCGCTATACAAATGAAATTTTGTTATTGTATTAAGTGACCAAATTATTATTGTTTTTTTCTGATATTTTCTATATGTGTCTCAACACATAACACTCATCGCAAAGATTTATGGAGGCGTACTTTAATTCTGGGCATAGTGACCGTTGGTGGCCGGGCCTTAGCTATAAAGCTATGTGATGACCCCCTTTCAACCAGTTGCCTTGTGTAGGGCATGAATTCTCTTCCTTTAGGTCCAAACACAAAATCGTCTCTCAAAGCATCCACCAACATGACAACAACTCTTCCGAACAATGGAGACGGCAATTTTGTCCAATTTGATGGATAGCCTAAGTGGAAAGAATTAAAGAGAAAATGTAAAATACTATGTTCATGTGTTACACTATCAGATGTAAATAAGTGCATAAATATCAGCAGTGCATGTTAAACTTTTCTTTACTTCAATAGTTATTTCTGTATAATTTGCAAGATATGACAGTATAAACAATATAAACACATTTACTATGTAACTGTACTTCTTAGTAATCAACCATCAATAACTCAATGCACTTGTAGTGACCACATAACTTTGGGATGTAAATCACACAGGCATGATACAGGAAGCAATGAGAGTTTATTTAAAAGCAATCCAACAACACATTGGAGTATTGTGATGCAATTCTGGTCTCCGTGCGGTAAGGATACAGCAGTGATGGAAAGTGTACAATGGCCGATTATGTGGATGATAGCAGGTAACTACTCTAGCCTAAGTCTAGGATAGATTGGATAGGTTAGGTCCTTTTTCACGAGAGAAGAGACGTATAAGGTGGGGACCTAATAGAAACGTTTAAAATTATACAAGGGTTCGATAAGGTTAACATAAGTAGGCTTTTTTCACTAGTAGGGGGGTTCGTAACCAGTGGACCCAAATATAAGATAGTTATTAGGAGATCAATAAGAGAAGTTAAGCGGAACTATTTCACGCAGCGGGTAGTGAGATTGAGGAACTCACCAAATGAAGCAGGTGTTGAATCAGATAGTCAATAGATGCATTCAAAAGAAAGCTAGACTATGTCTAGTCAGACATCAAGTCCTGAATGAGAGCTAACTTTCTATAGTTGAACGTCAACAAGACCAAGACCCTCCTAATGGGCTCCTGTCAGCGCCTCCAAACCTCAGGCACTGACAGCATCACCATCCAATGATGTACACTCCACCTCACTGAGCCAGTCAGCAACACTGGCATCTTGTTTGACCTTCAACTATCCTTCCTACACCACATCCGTGCCATGATCCACTCTGGCTTCCCCCACCTCCGAAACTTCACCTGGTTCCACCTCTGTCTCACACCACAAGTTGCCAAGACCCCCACACACGCATTCATAACATCCAGGCTTGACTATGCAAACTCCCTGCTTGTCGGCCACCCCAACTCCTCCCTCCATAGGCTGCAGATCATCCAGAACTCTGCAGCCCACGTCCTCTCCCATGACCCTATCACCCCCATCCTCGCCCGACTCCATTGGGTTCCTATCACACAGAGGATACAGTTCAAAATCTTGATCCTCTCCTTCAAAGCCCTCCATGGCCTTGCTCCCCTCTATGTCTGTGACCTCCTAGCCCCCACCAACCTTCCTGCTCCCTCCGCTCTGCGGGCTCCGGCCTGCATCATGTCCCCCGCCTCACCATTGGTGGGCGGGCACTCAGCCACTCTGCCCCCACCCTCTGGAACTCCATCCCGCAGTCCCTCCGCCTCACCTTCTCCGTTGCCTCCTTCAAGACCCGTCGCAAGACCCTCCACTTCGACCATGTCTCTGGTCACCCTCCTTCCCCCTTGCCCTCCACTCTCCCCACTCCCGACCTCCAGCTCGGATCCGAAGCACTGATTGTCCAGCACCTTGGGACGTCCTCCCGATGTGAAAGGTGCTGTACAAATATAATTTTGTTGTTGCTGTTCATATGAAAGAGAGGGGAATATAATTATGGGAGGGAGTAAGGAATAGCTGAAGACTCGCGTGGAGTATAAACACCAGCACGGACTCATTGGGCCAAGTGGCCTATTTTTGTGCTGTATATTCTTTATAAATCTTTGCACATTACCTAACAGCCACCTTTCATGTAGAAACTGATACAATGAAGTATTTCAAAGTTGTAATACAATCTCACTGTAATACAATGGCCACTGTTCTGGTTTAGGATTACATTTGAACTGTCCAATAATGCAGTTACTCTTATGTGTCCATTCTCGTAGATGGCCGCAATATCAACCCCAGTCTGCAAATGAAAAATTAATATCTGAATAGGGGGAAAAAAGATAGATCATTTGTTGAAAAAAATTAAAGCCGACTTCCTTATAATAATTATCCTTACATTTAATATCGTGCCTTATCATGTCTTCCAGATGTTTCAAAGCGCTTCAGAGAACACACTGTAAAGTGAATTGACTGTATATTTTGTGGGCAGCCAATTGCACACAGCAGTGTCCCAAAAATAGTCATGAATTGAGTGACCTAGTTATTATTTTTACTTTTTTCAAAAATAAATACTTAACTAATAATTCTCACAGTAATAATCCTCATAGGGATACAATAAAATAAATCCATGCTATAAGCCATACTCCTGTATTAAGCACAATTTGTAATTGATGAAATTTTTAATGAATTCTAAAAAAGATGTTGGGAGAAGTTGCTAGGATGTGATTGATACAACAGTAATCTCTCTAACAAAAAGTCTGATATTCAAGTGCTAATAATGCCTGGTTCAGAGTAAAACTGTGATTGCTGCTGTCACTGTTTAAACTATATTCAAGTGTTTTATAACAGTGGCCATTGTATTACAGTGAGATTGTATTACAACTTTGAAATACTTCATTGCTCTTACAGTTCTCCCTTACTAACCTGTACTACCCATAGGATATGAATGACAATGAGCTTAGTCTCCAGTAACATTTATTACAGTAAATCCTGTGAAGCATTTTGAGATGTCCTTGAGACGTGAAAGGCCCTTTATCAAATGCAATTATTATTCTAGTATAATATTTTGTACGTTCTGCCAATTGATTTAATACAATACATTTTTTAAACATGGTGCATTCAACAACATTCTTAGCAGGTAAATTACAGAATTACTTGTTCAAACGTCTTTGTTGTATGAACATACCATTAAAAAAAGGCATCAGATCATAACCTATCTCGAGAAGATTCTCATAATCAATGTTGCTTTTAATGAGTGCTTTGCCTGATGTAAAGGTTTATGAGCTTAGCACTCTGGAAACATTCTAGAGCTGTGGTTATAAATACTGTACATCCCAGTCTGGTACAGGGGCAATAAGGGTGTCAGACATTCTCTGACCATCTCAGCCTCTGTTGGCAAGTTACTGGCAGTTCGCTGCCAGTGACTGTGTTACCAACAGAGGTTTCAATTGTTATTTTGAGGGTAAAGCTGCCTCCTGAGTATAAATTAGATAATAATAACCCTTACATTTGATATAGCAACTTCTTTCAGATGGTTCAAACATCTCAAAGTATTTCACAGTAAAGTGCACGTAACACTGTAAAGTGTAGTGACGGTGTATTTGCAGGGGAATGCTGCAGCCAATGTGTGCATAACGATGTGCTTCAAACAGCCATCAAGTAAATGAGCAATTTTATTTGGGTGATTGTTTGCTAGGACACTGGGAGAAACTCCTTTCTCTTTTCAAATTGTGTCACGGGATCTTTAACATCCACTTAATGAAGCTGACAGGATCTCAGTTGAACGTCTCATCCCGAAGACGGCAACTCTGACAATGCAGCCCCTCCCGCAGCACTGCATCGGAGGGCGAGTCAAGACGATGAGCTCAATGTCCCGATGTGGGGCTCAATGCCAGTGTCTTCTGCCCCGGAGACAAGTGTCGCTGACTGATATGGCGACTCATCATGTTGTCACGACATCTCACACTGCTCCACAGGATATACTGCGAAGTGGATCGACTGCGTGTCTTGTGGGCGAACTGGGCAGCCAAACACGCAACAGGAGTGTCCCGTGAATAGCCGCGGAGTGGGTGACCCATTTTATTTGGGGGGGGGTGGTGTTTGTGGGCCAAGGTAGCGGGAGGAAACCTGGCCTTCCTTTGCGAACAGTGCCATGGGATAGTTTTAACATCCACCTGAGGGGAGACCCGGGGTTAACGTCTCACCCGAAGGGCAGCGCCTCCGACAAGACACCGGCCCTGCGATGTGAGTGTCAACACGACCATGTGATCCCAAGTCCTGAGGTGGGGCTTCAATCCACAGCCCTCAGATCCGGAGAGACGAGAGTGTTGCTGCCCGAGAGCAGAGCAGAGCAGAGGCCATCCTCCCCGGGGCTTCCCTCCCCACTGAGGAGAGACAGGAAGTGCAGTCGGTGGGACTGACGCACGCCGCAGGCCCCGCCACACCCTGACCATTACCTCCTGCCGGCTCCCCGGGGACCTCCGACACCTTGGCCTTTGCCGACCCGGACGATTTCACGGGGACCGGGAAAAATCCTCGCAGGAAGAGGGCGAGGCCGAGCCCGAGGAGCAGGAGGCAGCAGCAGGCGAACAGCGAGGAGCGGAGCCTCATGGCGGCACCGCGGCTCCTCCGCGCCTGCGCACTGATCGCACCGCGCTCGCCCGGCCAGCCCAGCCAGAGGGGCACCCGCCAATCAGAGCCCCTGTTACATTGCATCGCGGCGTGATTGCGCACAACAGCCAACCGCAGGTGCCGTTACATTGCAGCAATGTCGTCCGGTTGGGCGGGTTCACGCGACCAATTGGGCGGTTTTATTGGCGGTTACTGGGCGTGAAAAACGCTTTTGGGCGGGTACCTAATTTAAAAATAAATAATAATCCTTGCATTTGATGTAACGTTTAATCATGTCGTTGAGACGTCTCAAAGCGCTTCACAGGATATATTGTAAATAATGCAATTAAAATAAATGTTGTGGCTGTGTATTTGTGGGTGAATGTGGTATACTGCATTATATATATAATAATCCTTGCATTTGATATAGCACTTTTCACGTCTTCTCGACGTCTCAAAGCGCTTCACAGAATAGACTGTAAAGTGAATTGACTGTATATTTGTGGGCAAAACATGGCAGTCAATTGCGATCAGCAATGTCCCACAAACAGCTATGGATTGAAAAAGACCAATTTATTATTGTTTTGTTTTTTGGAGGGATTATTATTAATCGTGTGGAGTAAGGAAACTTGCCCAAGGTTTCGCCCTGTGCCTGGAATTGAACCCAGGTGTCTCACTTGCAAGATTAGTATATACATAATAATCCTTGCATTTGATATATGATATTATTTGATATTATTTATTATAAATACGTCCGAGTCCTGGAGTCCGTGGAATCCTGTAGTTCAGTGATTAGGGTACTCGCTTTGCAAGCGAGAAACCTGGTTCGATTCCCGGTAGGGTGAAACCTTGGGCAAGTTTTCTAACTTCACACGCTTGATAATATTCCCTCAAGAAAATAAAACAATAATAAATTGGTCACTTCTAACCATGACTATTTGTGGGACACTGCTGTGCGCAATTGGCTGCCGCATTTTCACTCACAAATGTACAGTCAATTCACTTTAGTCTATTCTGTGAAGCGCTTTGAGAAGTCTAGAAGACATGAAAAGTGCTATATCAAATGCAAGGTTTATTATTATTATTATAAATAGGAGTCCTGCATCTTAGTGGTTAGAGCACTTGATTTCCAGGCATAGCAAAATAATAATCCCTTCAAAACAAAAATAAATTTAAAAACTAATAATTTGTTTACCCAATCCACCACTGTTTGTGGGACACTGCTGTGCGCAGTTGGCTGCCGGGTTTCGCCCACAAATATACAGTCCATTCACTTTACAGTATACAAAAAGCAAAATTCTGCAGATATTGGAAATCTGAAATAAAAACATAAATCGCTGGGAATACACAGCAGGTCAGGCAGCATCTATGGAGAGGAAAATGAGTTAACATTTCAGGTCTATGACCTTTCGTGAGAACTCACGAAAGGGAAGACCTGAAACGTTAATTTGTTTTCCTCTCTCCATAGATGCTGCCTGACCTGCTGCGTGTTCCCAGCAACTTCTGTTTTTATTTCACTTTAAAGTATATTCTGTGAAGTGCTTTGAGACATCTCAAAGACTTGATAAGATGCGATATCAAATGCAAGGATTATTATATCATTATAATAAACAAATTAAAAATCACCTGTACCTGGGTTTGATTCCCAGCAGGCGAAACCACGTGCAAGTTTCCCTACTCCACGTGCCTAATAATAATCCCTCAAGAAAAAAACAATAATAAATTGGTCACTTCAATCCAAGACTGTTTGTGGGACACTGCTGTGCGCAATTTGGCTGCCGCATTTTGTCCACAAATATACAGTCAATTCACTTTACAGTATATTCTGTGAAGCGCTCTGAGACGTCGAGAAGATGTGAAAACCGCTATATCAAATGCAAGGATTATTATTATATTATTATTATATGCCGCAGCATATTTAGATGACATTGATCTATAGCTCAACCTGGGATTGTCATCTGCACCTGGTGGCTGCGGTTCTGGATTCCCTAAGGGCAGCCCGACGAGCAGTGAACCCCCCAGCAAGTGTGACCCATGCTCTTACAGATGCATACATACATGATGGAATAAGGGATTATGGGGGTAATAGTACGGGCTCTCGTGGAGTATATAAATGTAGCTGGGCCAAACGGCCTGTTTTCATGCTGTATCATTTTATGTAAAAGAAAACTTGATGCATTTGTAAGTGTTTGTCCTGTGCAACGATACGTTTGAGGGATATTATTGCAAATTGGCTGCTACCGATTCAGTTCACCGCAATTATTTGTGAAATGCTTTCGAGAATCTTTGACATTTACAGCAAGTTTGGTGGTTAGAGGAAGTAATGGGTGCCCAGTTCCCCACAGTCCCCCAGTTACTGTTACGTTATTGTAAAGAGGAATGATAAACTGAAATTAGATGCTAAATTTTGACAGACCACGTCTGGGAATCAGCCTTTTTTTTAGTCAGTCAGATGTCTGACTCCTGTGGAAACCCATTAACATGCATAAGAGTATCCAAACCAAACTGAGATTTCCATACATCCCACCCACACGTGGGAATCGGAGATAGATTGTTGGAATGCGGATTCTCTCCCTGGAGGTCGCATCCTGATTACCTAATTTCAGACCGTATTAGGCGCAGGTTGGCAATAGCCAAGGCCTGGGGGACCCCAGAGTGTGTGTTGGGGTAACTGCTGGAGTCTAACCAGCTAAAACGACATAGCTTGCGTGTGACCTTGAGGTCGGTTCAGCTCCCAGGAGACCCCACTTGCCCCCCATAGGAAGGATGGACTCACTGTTGACCCCCACATGGATCCGGAATATACATTCCTGATAAAATCCAGGATTCGGCCCAGAAACCGTAAGAGGCACAATACCTCAGTGGATATATGTGCGGCGGTCAGTCGGGGTGAGCATGTGCGGGGTCAGACGGGGGGGGGTGAGCATGTGCGGGGTCAGGCGGGGGGGTGAGCATGTGCGGGGTCAGGCGGGGGGGGTGAGCATGTGCGGCGGGGCGGGGTCAGGCGGGGTGAGCATGTGCGGGGTCAGGCGGGGGGGGTGAGCATGTGCGGGGTCAGGCGGGGTGGGGGTGAGCATGTGCGGGGTCAGGCGGGGGGGGGTGAGCATGTGTGGGGTCAGGCGGGGGGGGTGAGCATGTGCGGGGTCAGGTGGGGGGGGGTGAGCATGTGCGGGGTCAGGCGGGGGGGGGGGGGGGGAGTGAGCATGTGCGGGGTCAGGCGGGGGGGGGGGGGGGGGGGGGGGGGGGTGAGCATGTGCGGGGTCAGGCGGGGCGGGGAGTGAGCATGCGCGGCGGGGCGGGGTCAGGCGGGGAGGCGGAGTGAGCATGCGCGGCGGGGCGGGGTCAGGCGGGAGAGGGGGGCGGGGTGAGCATGCGCGGCGGGGCGGGGTCAGGCGGGAGAGGGGGGGCGGGTGAGCATGCGCGGCGGGGCGGGGTCAGGCGGGGCGGGGAGTGAGCATGCGCGGCGGGGCGGGGTCAGGCGGGGGAGGCGGAGTGAGCATGCGCGGCGGGGCGGTGTCAGGCGGGGAGGCGGAGTGAGCATGCGCGGCGGGGCGGGGTCAGGCGGGGGGATGCGCGGGGCGGCGGGTGGCGTGGTGTTGGCCGGGGATGTGCTGCTGTGTGAGCAGCGGGAGCTGGTGACGTGCGGCCCCGGCCTGAGGCGGGAGGGGGACAGTGTGCTGGTGTGTAAGTGCGGGGAACTGCGGCACAAGGAGCCCAACATCTACTGGGTGGACTCACAGCAGAAGCGGGTGAGTGAGTGAGTGAGAGAGAGAAAGAGAGAGAGAGAGGGCCTCACAAGAGGCTCCGGGTTGTCAACCAGTGAGGGAGGGGGACACTGACTGCATCCTGAGGGGGAGGGCTCCGAGCTGTCAGTCACCAGTGACAGCACAGCCGCCTCGGTCCTGACATACCTTTCTACCCCACATCTGCGCCATGACCCGCTCTGCCTTCCCCCACCTCCGCAACGTCGCCCGACTCCGCCACTGTCTGACACCGCCGGCCACCGACACCCTCATACACGCTTTCATTACATCGAGGCTCGACTCTGCAAACTCATTGCAACTGCTTGTCACCAACTCCTCCCTTCACAGGCTGAGATCATCCAGAACTCTGTAGTCTATATCCTCTCCCACACAAGGCTCTGCGACCCTATCTCCCCCATCCTCACCCAACTCCACTGGCTTCCCATCACACAGAGGATACAGTTCAAGGATCCTGGTTCTCACCTTCAAAGCCCTCCCCGATCTTGCTCTCCGGCCTGCTTCACGTCCCCCGCCTCGCTCATCCCACTATTAGCGGGCAGGCCTTCTACCACTCTGCCCCCACGCTCTGGAACTCCATCCTGCAGTCCCTCTGCCTCGTCCCCTCCCTTGCCACCTTCAAGACCCATCTCATAACCTCTTCGACTGTGCTTTCGATCTCCCTGCTTCCCCGCCCCTGCCCTCCGCCCCCTCCCCAACCCCACCTCCAGCTTGGGTCCGGTACTCTGTCTGTCCAGCACCTTGGGACGTCCTCCCGACGTGAAAGGAGCTTTACAAATGTAATTTTGGTGTTGTTGTTCAATTAATAGTTGAATAGTTAACTGCTGAAAATTAATTTTTAGACACATTTGTCTTACTTGTCAAATATTCTTTTGTAGTATGTTCCAGCTAAAGGAGAATACGTGATAGGAATTGTTACTACAAAGTCTGTGGATGTATTCAAAGTTGATGTTGGAGGAAGTGAGCAGGCATCGTTGTCATATTTAGCATTTGAAGGAGCCACCAAACGAAACCGACCAAATGTTCAAGTAAGGAACATCTGTTTTCTACCAATAAGTTCTCAGAGATTATGTATAAGACAAAGACTTTGTTTGCAGAATTCTGAGGTTAATAAATTGAAATTGCAGCCTTACAAGTTCACGCTTTTTCACTAAAACAGTTTGCTATTTTCATATTTGAATGTGCGTATGCTGCTTGATGATTCGTTGCAGGTGCTGTGCCCTTTCTCGCTATGCTTTCTCCCTTTCCAGCCCTTCTTCTGGCCTCTCCTGCTCCGCCTCCGTTCTCCTGCTCTTCCGTGCCCCCCCCCTCACTCTTGTTCTCCCACCCCCTTCTCTCGCCCCCTTGCTAAGTGTTCTCTCTTTCTCTCTGCCCCCCCCCCCCCATTTTTCTCCACCCTGCCCCCTCTCTGTCTCCCTGCCCTCGTTTTCTTCCTCCCCCCTCTCTCGCTTTCTCTCCCTCTCAATCTCTCCCTCCCCCACTCTCTCTCCCCCCCTCTCTTTCTAAGTGCCCTCTCTTTCTACCCCCCTGTCCCACTCCTCTCTTTCTCTCTTTTTCGCTTTCTCCGTACCCCCTCTCTTTTTCTCCGTGACCCTGTCTCTCTTTCTCCCCACCCCGCTCTCTTTCTCCCCACCCCTTCTCTTTTTCCCCACCCACCTCTCTCTTTCTCCCACATCCTCTTCTCTCTCTCCCCCTCCGATCCCCCCTCTTCTCTTTCTCTCCCACTCCCCTCTCTCTATCTTTCTCTCATTTCATTTTTTAAAAATATATATCTATACAGTAACTATCTCAACAAGAAACATTCAAAGTATTACTGTTGTGAAAGTGATGGATCTACTCCTCAGTCCTTAATTGATGAAAGAGTATATATTAAGTTCAAACTGGTTTCTTGTTCTCTGTTTGATTGTAACAGGTTGGAGATCTCATTTTTGCACAATTTGTTGTGGCCAACAAAGACATGGAGCCAGAATTGGTTTGCATTGATAGCTGTGGACGATCCAATGGGATGGGTGTGATTGGACCAGATGGATTATTATTTAAAGTTTTGCTGGGTAATGCACGCAAGTAGGTGAATTTACTGTGTCAAAACTCTTATCTACTGTCGTCCAACAATTTTTTATTATGACTTATAAATTATTATTTTTATTATATTCCTAGGTTACTTTCTCCAAACTGTGATGTCATCAAGGACCTAGGAAAGCTATACCCTTTTGAAATAGTCATTGGCATGAATGGGAGGATATGGGTAAAAGCCAAAACAATTCAACATACATTACTTGTAGCTAATGTATTGGAAAGTTGTAAGAATATGACCAATGAGCAAAGGAAACAAGTCTTCAACAAATTGTCGGAAAATGTTTCATGAATTAATTGAACTGTATGTTAAACGTCAATGTTGAAGGCAGTCAATAGATTGCTGTATTTTGACCTTTTGACCTCTTGAGTGAGATGGAATTTTGATAAATAAAAACAGATTGAAAAAATTACTAGAATATTGATTTTTTTCAACTGTAATTCAATGAGAACATGGTGAGTTTCCAACATACTGTTAGGAAGGAAATACGGGTCTTGTATTCAAGAAAGATGAATTATATCTGATAACCACAGACCAATTAGCTTAACTTCAATTCAGTAGAATCCAGTTCCAGCATACTTTGTTATAATTCAGCTTTACCTCTAGCCTAACTAGAATATGGACGCTATTCACTGGATGCAAAACTCAGCTCCTGGCCTCCCAAAATGCAAATTCCTGGTTGTCAGGTGACGGTTGACATTCTTTAAAACGACATAACTTCCTACACATACATTGTGCACAGGAAATGACGGAAGGCAAGTCGGCCAATTGTGTGTGCAATGTATGTGAAAATGCAAGTTTAGGATGCTATGGACTCCCAACAACAACTTGCATTTGTATCACGCGGGGCAGAGTCTCCGAGCACCAATGCCTTATAACAGGGCTCCATTATAAATGGAAAACTGCTAGAATCAATGAAAGATTATTCATCAAAATAATCAATGACAGCCAGATAACTTCACAAGGACCCTTCTTCTCTAAACAACCTCCTTGTAAGTGCTTGGGTTCTTGTGCACACTCACTCCTTCCACAGTGCACTGGTGCAAACACATTCTCTTTCTGCAGAGTGCTCTCCAGAGGCCCTCAAATGTAGTGTAAAATGGAAACGAAACATTTGGCCTTTCAGGCCTGCGCTGGTGTTTATTCCCCTCAAATGGGCCACCCAGTTTTTGTTACAGAAAGGATTGTTATTATTATCTTCAAAGCTCTACCGTAAAATGAATTGACTGCATTTTGGGGGGAAATGTAGCAGCCAGTTTACACAAGGCAATATCCCACAAACAGCCATGGAGTGAGTGACCAATTTCATTTTGAGGGATTGTTGACCAGAACACGAGGAGAAACTGCCTTTCTCTTTTGCCATGGGATTAATATCTGCCTGAATAGGCAGAAGAGACCTCGGTTCAACATTTTATCCGAAGGGTGGCACCTCTGATAATGCAACAATCCTCCTCCCACAGCTGTATTGGAATGTCAGCTTAAATTATGTAGCATTATAAATTATATAACAATAATATAAATTATATAACAAAGTATAACAAAGTATGGGATTTGAACCCACAAACATCTGACTGAGGCCAAAGTCATTGAGCCAGGCTGACACACTATGAAGGGAGAGTGTTTGGGCATGAAAGTTGGAGGAACATTGTGCACATGAGCACGTGTGGCAGCATTGTGGAGGGAGTGTGCGTGTGTGATCGCTGTGGAGGGAGAGTTTGCATGCGTGAGTGTACTATGGAGGTAGAATGTGCACACGTGTGTCAGTGGTGTGGAGGGAGCATGTGTGTGTGTGCATATGCTGTAGCACTATGAAGGGAGAGTGTCTGTTCACAGGTGTGTAGGTTTGCATGTGAGCAACGTGACTGTTATTAAAGTAATTACAAGTATATGTTTCACGCTGGCAATAACATAAATGCATCATTCTTACCTGGTGAGTCATCACCTCCAGGCTCGACTATGCAAACTCCCTGCTTGTCGGCCTTCCCAACTCCTCCCTCCACAGGTTGCAGATAATCCAGAACTCTGCAGCCCGTGTCCTCTCCCGCACCAAACTCCGTGACCCCATCTCCCCCATTCTCGCCCGACTTCATTGGCTCCCTATCCTTCGGAGGATCCAGTTCAAGATCCTGGTCCTCACCTACAAAGCCCTCCATGGTCTCGCCCCACCCTACCTCTGCGACCTCCTAACTCCCTACCAACCCGCCCGTTCCCTCCGCTCAGCCGACTCTGGCCTGCTCCACGTCCCACGACCCACCCGCCCCACCATTGGCGGGAGAGCCTTCAGTCATTCTGCTCCCAACCTCTGGAATTCCATCCCCCAATCACTCTGCCTCGCCCCCTCCTTAACCTCCTTGAAGTCCTGCCTCAAGACCCTCCTCTTCGACCATGCGAATCAGCCACCCCCTTCCCATTCCCTCCTCCCCCCCTGACCCCAGCTCGGGTCTGAAATGCTGTACACTGTCAGGCGCCTTGGGACGTTCTCCTGACATGAAAGGCGCAATATAAATGTAATCTTGTTGTTGTTCAGTGTGCACACATGTGTGGGCGCTCCTCCATATTGCTCCCACTCACAAACTATAGAACTTGCGCACATATACACAGGACTTCCACAGGGATAGTGTGTTGCACACACAGACTCTTCCTCTATATTTCTCACGCATGCATGCACACTCTGTGTCTCCACACCGTGCTCATACACGCACTCCCTCCACATTGTTCACATGTGCACGGTCACATACACTCCCTCCACATTGCTTGTGCATGGCTGCAAACACAGTCCCTCCACATCGCTGGTGCACACACAACACTGGCACATGCGCTCACATGCAGATTATTTTTATTTCGGTCAGCTTTTCCTGACGCCATTTCCAATTTCACCCGGTCAATTTGTGATTCCATATGGTAGGGGTGGCGGTGGATGGCTCCTTTCCTTTTTGGTAGCTGTTTTTTTAAAAAAAGATTATACCGAGTCCTGTCGTTCAGTGGTTAGAGCACTCGCCTCGCAAGTGAGAAGACCTGGGTTCGATTCCCGGGCAGGACGAAATGTTGGGCAAGTTTCCTTCCTCCACGCGCCTCTGTTTACCTAGCAGTAAGTAGGAACCTGGTTGTTAGTCGATTCGTAGATCGCTTTTCCAGGGGTAATAATTCCTTCAAAAAAAATAATTTGATCACTCAATCCACAACTTTGTAGACCACTGTTGTGTGCAATTAGCTGCCACTTTTCGCCCACAAAATTCACTGTACGTTTATTCTGTGAAGAGCTTTGAGACATCTAGAAGGCGTGATAAGGCGCTATATCAAAGGGAAGGATCATTATTATTATCATAGTGGTAGTGCCATTTGGTGGCAAAGAGAAAGGACTTGTTTTTCCCTGTGGTTTGCTTTGCCTCCAGCAGATGGCAGTAATTATAGCGGTGTCCAACGGCGCCATCCACTGGTTAGTAATATGTAACGGTAAAACGTGTTCAACTGGAAAAGGTTTTTCACAAGATCACAAGATTTTTGGGATGAAGATCCACCTGCTCACATCGATTCAGAACACCCACCCTACCGTCCACCATCACAGCATCAAGCTACTGATTAAAATGTAGAGAGAGTTTGCCTACAAATAAATACACGTTCACCATAAATCCTGTGAAGTCCAGAAGCATAATGCCAAGCTGGGAGGTGACTGTAACCTGGAACACTCTTCATATTCGACCAAGCTGGTCAAATAGGAAGGTCTTCAGGCGCAACCTGAAGATGGGGAAGGAAGGAAAGGGCAAGGTGGAGGGATCGAAGAAGAATGTTTCAGAGATTCAGGGCATAGCGGCTGAAAGCGCAGCCACCGATGGTGGAACAGAGGGCATGGGAGACACGCAGGGGGCCAGAGCCAGTTGGTGGTATACAGCGGGTAGTGGGTTGGGGTGTAAACAGGTACAGATATCAGGGCATGAAGGGATTTGAAAACGAGTGTGAGGATCTTGAAATCAATCCGTTCGGTGTTAGGGAGTCAGTGGAGCCTGGCTAGAACTGGTGTAATTCTTTCCACAACTCTGTCTCTCTCCAACGTTCTTGTTCACTCTCCACAGCTCTCTCTTTCTTTCCAAATCTCTCTTTCACAGTTTTCCACTGAGAGATGGAGAGTTGTAGAGAAAGTGAAATACTTGGCTTGTGGAGTCCTGTAGCTCAGTGTTTAGAGCACTCGCTTTGCAAGTGAGAGACCTGAGTTCAATTCCAGGCAGAGGGCGAAACCTTGGGCAAGTTTCCTTACTCCACACAGTGCCTAATGATAATCCCTCCAAAACAAAACAATAATAAGTTGTTCATTTTCAATCTACGACTGTTTGTGGGACATTGCTGTGCGCAATTGGCTGCCGCGTTCGCCCACAAATATACAGTCAATTTACTTTACAGTGTGTTCTCTGAAGCGCTTTGGGACGTCCTCCCGATGTGAAAAGCGCTATATCAAATGCAAGGATTATTATTATTATTAAATGGAAGAAGCAGAGACAGAGAGTGGAGGAACCCAGAGATTGGGTGAACTCGATTCTTATAGAGAAATCTGCCAGGCCACTTCAGATTTGTCAGGTAGTTAATAAATAGAAGATTTCAGACAGAAGCTGATTTAAATTTCTATGTTGAATGCACCATTTGGAAGGAATGAATTCCTGAAAATGCTATTTGGAACAACATCAGCTAAAGTAAAGTTTAAACAACACACCAAGCAAATTTTCCAAATGAAATTCAGCAATATTTCTTCGTGTTTGGGGCCTTTGGCCCCTTTGGTTGATAAGAGTCGAATTCTAATACTTCTCATTCAATTTGTAATGCTGTAAAGGACTACTGATGAGATTCAGCACAAAGTCATTCCTCATTCAAACCAGAAAGAAGTTAATGGGAAAACATTGTATTGTGAAAGCTACCCAGCAGCCAATTACCAATTAAAGATTTTTGGTGCTTTGTAATAGGATGTAAACAGGAAAGCAGTTCTGGAGGGAAGATAAAAAGGAGAGAGTCTAAATACTTGTATTTTCTTCAATTTTTTTAATAAAAGTAAAAAGGTAAACTTCACTGCAGATTTTTCAACTCCGTTAACCTTTTTCTGAGTAATGCTGTTATGTTCTTTGGAAGTATAAAGCAGGCAAAAATAAGGACATCAAAAGGTTCTGGTACACAGAGGAGGATGCGATTCAGAGGCAGGTTTTGATTTAAGTAGGTTGCTGTTTAATGAGTAAAGGATAGGATTTACAAGTATTTAGATAATACAATAACTACATGCGGACTACTGAATATGCAGAAACAAATTCCCTAAAAATACAGAACAACAACTTGCATTTATATAGCGCTTCTCTCACAGGGTAGAGTCCCAAAGCACTTGACAGTGGCAGAGAACAAAGCTGAGCCGGCAAGTGGGGGGAGGTAGTTGAAAAG